TCGGGTATGTGCCAACTCGGCTCAACCAAACTGGGCTCAACTAGCTTAGTCGAACAATCTGAGTCAACTTAGCCAGTTCAAGTCAATTCAAATTGGTTTTAGAATTTATTTAATCAATTTAGCATGGTTTTAAAGATTTTTGATCCGGTTCAGACCTATCCCAATGTGTAACAGCCTAGTTCAATCTTGTTCTAAGGATTAGTTCAGTTTGATTTTAATGGTTTGGGCTAGTTCAGTGCGATTTTGTGGTTTATTTGGGTGAACCAACTTGGTTTTAAGGTTTTGAGGCTGATTTAGGGGCATTCATGGCCGGTTCAAGCAAGTTTAGGGATATTTGAGGCTGATTCAAGCATGTTCAAGGATGTTTGAGGCCAATTCAATGAGGTTTGATACTAGTGCAAGCTGGCTTTGCAGTGTTTGAAGCCAATTCAACCTAGTTTTGTAGTGATTAAGGTCTATTCATGCTGGTTCAATGAGGTTTTGGGCCGATTTAGGCCGGTTCAAGGGTATTAGAGATTAGTTTACTTCTGTTTAAGGATTTTTACATAAAATTAGTTCATGTTTTCATTATGTTTTGGGTCCAGATCTTAGATAATGAACCTCAGAATATGTGTTGAGTTTTCGAAATGGGATTAGGGAATGAGTTGTGTAGTCAAGCCTTTAATTAATTATGTTTTGACTTTGATATTTATATTTTGTTGTTGTAATTATTGATATGATGAAGGGCATGCACTTCGATCATTGAGTTCATCGTTACGGAGATTTGAACCTTTTGGCTCTGACTTGTACTGTGAGTAATAATACTTACTCTATGCATGTGTTTTAACTTTGGTTCTTTATACGTTATGAAATGAGGTTTTCTTTTTTTTTGCAAAGATAAATTAATTGTTATGATATGATTTTCAATGTTAGTATAAAATTTGGGATAGGTATTCAGAAATTGATTTTCTGAATTGCAGTGATCTATTTTGAAACATTTGATTTTGACTTGGAAATATGTCTCTAATATTGTATTATGTCTCTGCGCTTATATGTTGAGAGACATAATGTGATCCATTGATATGAGATCTAATGTGATATGAGTTTTATTCAGACATAATGAACTATGTCAGTATTATGTGAGATAAGATTATAATTTGATACAGGATTTCGATATGGTATATGAAATGTGATACTTCCAATACGATATGCTCTATCATGAGATGACATTTTGATGTGATATGTTGTTTGTGATGCCCCCAACACGATATGTCTGTCATGAGATGAGATTTCTGATATGATCTGATGCCCCCGTATGCTTACTTTTCTAAAACTCAGTTATTTCTAGAAAATTGTGTTTTTGGATATATGAGGCACATATTATGATTTTTGGAGATATATGTATTCTTCTCACTACTTTGATTGTATATACATGTTTGCACATTTTATAATGCATGTCTTAGCATAATAAAGTTTATATTATCATTCAATAAGTTTATACTCACTCATTTCTCTAACATTTATCAAAGCGTTGATTTGCCTTTTCGTCTGCATTCTTGGGTGACTATGTAATGTTCTATCGAGCCACTTCCGATGTAGGAGCACTTTTGCATATATCTTTTTGTATTCTAGAGTTGTTTCATTTATTTTTCTGATAGGATCTTTTTTTATATATGTTTGTATTGTTTATTGAATCTGGATAAGCTTTGCATGTTCGTTCTGTCCAAGACGTACTAGGGTTGGTAATTTATCCTTAGTAATAATCAGGTGCCTGATTTTGGGTCATGATATTAAGATTCATAAAATAAATATATATGTCTAAATGTATTTTTTATCATTTCAAAAAGTACATATTTGATTGCTAATAGTAAAGAAATAATACCTGAATTTGAGAATAATAAGAAAATAAGAAGCAAAAGATGAAAAAAAATAAATTTGACAAAAGTGAACATAAAAAGCAAGCACGTAATGAGAAATTTTGTGTAGTGAGAATGCAAATGAGTGTCGTTTATTATCCTTTTATTGTGCTTTTAGACACTATTTTTATATAATATAAGTTTCACCTTTATATTTCAGCCATTGAAAATTTATTCAATTTTTGAAAACAGTTTCTCAAGATTAACTTTTCTTTTCTTTTCTTTTAAATCCTCAATGGACCCCTCCAACTTTGATTTTATTTTAACTCTATTTATAAATTTTTAATTTACTCATACAAGTCCTCTAATGAGTACAAAATAGAAAAGAAATTGAGTGAAAAATTTTAGCCATTATTGAGGCAAAAATATTTGCTTGGCTCCCACTGCCCCAAGAAGCTCCACCTCTGCTCGTGAATTAATATTTGTTCCAATCAACTTCAATAATCACCTCATATTGTTCTAATATTTAACTATTCTATATAATTTATATTATTGATTGAAAGAAATAAAAAAATTGAGTATAAAAATTTAATTATCAATTTTGCAAATCAAAAAGTTAAAAAAATAAATTTTAACTAAAAATTCATACTAATTTTATTAAAGATAAAAAGGTCATAATTTAAGTTTGTTTAGGACTACCAAAATCATTGAGCCGCCCCTACTCCTTTATAAAAATACATATATATATATTACTGTAAGTATATGCTATTAAGTATTATTCAATGTCTATGTATATTTTGAATATAATTAATATATTTATTATTTAGTAATAAAGTAAATAAGCAAAAGATATTAACTTTTAATATAGAAGCACTCTTTTAATTTTAATTAAAAATTTATAAATATTTTTATTATAAAAATATTTAATTTTAAAATAAATATTTTAAATATAATTTAAATCTTAAAATTTAATTTTAAATTGAAAAATAAATATAAATTAAAAGTAAACTTTATTTAAAATAGAAAAATATTATATACAATAATTATATATTATATATAAATATTATATTATTATATATATAATATATAATATATATATTAATATTATATATTATTATATAATATATTATATATATATTATATTACATAATATGTATACATATATTATATAATATATATATGTATGTATGCATATAATATATAATTTATATATAATATATATTATATATTATATACATACATTATATACACATACACATATAATGATGTGTGTCTATATATAAAACCTAGAGATATTAGCTACATTTTACTTTAATTTTTTACTTTTTAATTTCATCAATTCAATCCAATATAGGTTCTTTAATTTATTTATATTTCTTCATTTTAACTTCCAACGTTTATATTTTTGACTGAAACATTTATTTGTAAAATAATTTATAAAAGAACCTAGTTTAAGAAATCTATCTAAAAAATATATGACAAAAAAAGATACATAAGTTCTTTTTAAAATATTGTACTCTAAAAATATATTTTAATTTTTAAAATATATATTTTTAATATTAAAAAAGAACTACTCCTAACTTTTTCAAAACAAGCCTATCCAGGAGATATGAAATTTATCCCTTCCTGCCTTCACACTTCAGTTACTCTTCTCTACTTTATGCTCGGGACAACCACTTTGATCTTTGTCGGTGTACTTCCGTTATTGTCCTACTTTGTAATTAATATCCGAGACATGTACCTTTGTCTAGTTTTTCGAAAACTTCCCCTCATATGAAAAAAATAAAATAACATAAATGGCAACTTTTTCTTTAATGCAACTTCTGGTCACCTCTATGTGTTAAAAGGGATTGTTTGGTAGGTTTGATCGGATAAAGTAAGGTAGGACAAATTTTTGAATAAAGCATTTTGACCGTATAGTTATCCAAATAATTATTTTGTTTAACAGAGATAGCGAAAGTGGCGAGTAACGGTAGTAATAAAAGTAGTATTGTCTAAATAAGTTGGGTAAGGGTTGGATAAAATTATCTTACCTCTCTCTCTAATATATTTTATCCGAATTTGATCATGTTATTATCTAATCTTTCTCATACTCGAATTTTATCCGATCCTATTTTACTTAACTTACCAAATATGAATCCAGATGTCCTACCAAACGAGCCCAAAGTTAATATCATTTTAGTGACAATTACTAAACATAAAAGAAATAGGATCCGTTGGATTTAAATATTTAAAACTTGAAATCTGAAATTTTCGAGTTTATCCCATATGGATTTTCTTGGATTTCAAGTTGATCTCGGAATATTTCCTCTCTATCCAATTTTTTTTAATTTAAATTATTTAGTTTTCCTTCCCTAACCAATACAATATTTAATAGGATTTATTAAGATTCTAAATTAGTATTGATAGGTCTATATAAAGGCTAATAGGTGAACTCGTGTTAATAAAGTTTTGGAAACATTTCAATTTATTTGAATTCAATTCTTATTATTTAGTTTAGCTGTGAGCTAGCCATTCCCATTTCTAAGAAAGCTATTCATATGATAGCTTTTCCTATTTCTCCCCAAATACAAAGAAAATGTGAGGAGTTCTGTGGCCAAAAATATAAATAAGAATTCATATTAATTTTATTAAGATAAAGAAAGTCTCAATTTTAAGATTGGCTTTAGGCCACCAAAATCATTGAACCCTTCAGCACCTCTATAAAAAAAATATATATTACCTTACGTAACAAGCTTTGTTAATGAGTGTTTCTTCTTTGATCGGCTGACAGTTTTGTTACCAAATGAAGTTACACACTTTTGCTTTCTAAATATAAATAAGCGAATTTAACTTTTTTAAAGCAAGTCTATCCAAGCGACATGAAATTTATCCCTTCCTCTCTTCGCATTTCAGTTACTCTTCTCTACTTTATGCTCGGGACAACCTCTTTGATCTTTGTCGGGGTACTTTTGCCTTTCGAATCTGGGGCAATCTCCATTTGGCTTCTTTCCATCATTAACCTGCAAGAAAATAACCCTATGTAAATAAAACTGAGAGATACAATAAAACATTTGGAAGGAGATCATTAAACAAATGCTAAATTTCTATTTTATATATAACATTTGAATAAATAAACAAAGAAGGAGCAACCTCTAGTATAAATAAGTATCTTCTTGCCTATAGGGATCACCAACCGCTTGGAAGAAGACGCAGCAGCCACCACCATCCACATGGCGTCTTCATCTACAAGCGTGGAGAGGACGGAGGAGAGGGTGGCTAACGAAGGACCACCTGGTAAGCTCAGTGGTTATATATATATATATATATATATATAGTACAAAAAATTGCATTTTTTAGTAGTATTGAGAAAATCATGTGCTCGTAAATTTCTTTCTTAGATACCCATGCTTTGTTTTCAGATTGGAATGCATTTAATAGGTTTGAATAGGTTATGGATGTCCGTGTTTGACCACCAAATATTTTTGTTTATTTCTATTTGCAGTGTATGTCATTTACTTAATTAACATTAATAGATATTAGTATATACCATTCTTATGTTGATTACCAAATATTTATTTTTGTTTCGTGCAAAGATGTTTATTTACAAATTTTTTAGACATTTTAACCGAGACACCCATGTGCTATAATCCCAAAATTTGATGACATACAATTATACATAAATAAGCTTAATGTTTGATGCAATTAATTTAATATTGAATCACTGATACAGAAGATGAGTTCCTCAAGTACTTGCCACTGTACAGAGCGGCCTCAAGAGGTGATTGGGACACGGCGAATATCATCTTCCAACAAGACGAAGGAGCGATCACGGCCGTCATTAATAACTTTAAACAAACGGCATTGCACGTGGCAACAGACATGGGGAGGAACATTCATTTTTTGGAAGAGTTGGTTAAACTCATGCCCAAACAGGCCTTGCTCTTGCAAGATGGATCAGGCTACACAGCGCTAACCCTAGCTGCGATTGCCGGTGATATAAAGGCTGCAGATATCCTTGTCAATCAAAACCCTGATTTGGTCTATGTTAGAGATAACTCTAAAACCTTACCAGTGACTCGGGCAGCTAGGCATAACAAGCGACAGATGGTCTCCTATCTACTAAATCTTGTCTCAAACAACATCAAATCCTATCCTAATCCCTTTGGACAGGAATCTGATCTTGTGCTTTTAATCGATGTCATAATATCCAAATATTTTGGTAAGTGATCTTGTTAAAAAAAAATAAATTGTTTTTGGTTTATTTTCCTTTTTTAAAGTAAAATTCCTTTGCTTTTCGTGTTTCCAATTTTTGAATATATATAACTTGTAGAAAACTAAAAATGAGGCTGAAAAAAAAAAAACATTACAAATTCAAGCAGGCAGATTCATCAATTCCCTTTGTTAGTTGCAAAGAATAAAAACTTCAGTAATTTACATATATTTATACTTTGTTACAGATATTGCAGAGGAGTTGGTAGAGAAGTACCCTCACTTGGCCATTTTAAATCTCGAAGAGTATTTAACCCCTTTGGAAGTGATAGCGCGGATTCCTTCAGCATTTCGGAGAGGCTGCAATCTTAAATATTGGGAAGGTTTAATCTATAATGGTTGGTTTCTTCAACTCTATGTTCACTTATCTTTTTCATTTTTATTTTTGGTTAAACACATTTTTAGATTGTATTCTATATATTATTTGGTTAACTAATGGAAATTGCATAATAAAAATTTTCTAATTTCTGAATATTCACTTTCTCATGGAGGCATTCCTTTAAGCTTGTTGGAGTCTCACCCTAACAAAAATGAAGGTGATGTTGAAAATGCAACTTGCAACTCCAATCAGGTCCTTCCCATGCCAGCAGTTGGAATTATTCTCATATAATCTCAGGTCTTTTATTTCAAAAATAATAAATAAAATTATATATACGAAAAATTTCTAGAATGTTAACTAGATGCGTTGTTTCTGGTCTGCAGTCATGTGGCAGGAATTACGGATCATGATTTGGAAGACGATTATATATTTAGGTAATAAAGAGATTGGCACAAGAGAAGCATATCTAAAATTGTTTTTTAGCACACATACTTGGTAATTTCTTACATTTTGATTTCATTGCAGCACCACCCATAAAGCAAATCAAGGACAAAAAGCAAATGCACAATCACGCTTTTCAGCTTGTGATGTTGATTTGCAAAAGGATCGAAACTTTAAACAATCTGAATGATCAGGAAACTCATTACGCAGCTGCAGTTGCCACAGCTGCAAGGGTTGATAATCCTGAGGTCATAGAAGAGATAGTGGAGATATTTCCCAATGCCATCTGGGTTCATGATTCACAGGACCATGATCACATGTTTCATTTTGCTGTGGAAAATCGCTCTGAAAATGTTTTCAACCTTGCATATCAGGTGGATGGAAATAAACTTAGAGTGATGAATATGATTGACAACCATGGAAACACCATCTTACATTTGGCAGGAAGATTGGCAAAACCACAAAAGCTCAATCTTATTTCTGGAGCAGCATTGCAGATGCAACGAGAGTTGCAATGGTTTAAGGTATATACAACACCTTCTTCATCCTTATAATATTGTATACATTCTTGTATCCAAGTAACTTCATGCCTGCTATTATATAGTGTGTATTATTGTGTTTGTGTATATGTATGTATATACTTATGTATGCATGTATGTATGTATGTATAGGTTAAATTACACTATTGTGCATGTGGCTGGGAGCACGTGTCAATTTCATCTTGTTTTCAGTTGGTTAACTACCCATCTTCATTTTTTCTAATGTGCACAAATGTAGTTCTTCCATTTACTGGTGGTCACTTGACTAAGCCATGTGAGCGACTTTATGGTCATTTCATTTCTTATAATATTGTATTGTTGTTGGTTACTATATGGTTCACACAAATGATTCTTTAGTCCCTATGATGCTAATTTATTTAATTTTAGTCTTTCTTAGTTTAATTTATGCTAATCTCATCCCTGTATCTATACTTGTCAAATTTTCTACCATGACAATATCACCTTAGCAAAGGTTCATTTCACAAATCACCTAGTAAGTACTAACTCTATTATTTATCTTTTCTCATAATTTCACTTTTCAATACATTACAAGGTCAATATAAAATTTGATACAAATAAAATTAGTCAGTGAATCATCATACCTTAGCCTATTCTCTTCACCAATTTTGGCTAGTCCCACCTTGTAAGTTTGACCAATACCAGTTCCATTATTTTTTCTCTTCACGTAATCTCATCTTTTAAACCTCCTATGCATCAGCACATGATGTGTGCATGTGAGCAGATTACCCTATCCTACTTCCTCCTCCAATGGCCATTAGTCCTACTTTGACACTGTGGACTAAGCAATTGTATAATTTCTATCTCTTCTCATAATTTCACCTTGCCAACTCCACAGCTTCAACAAAATAATGCTAGTTTGTGCATGAGAGAGAGAGCAAAGGAGAGAAAATTTGATTTGTCCACCAAGCACTGTCTTATCATCATAGTTACTCTCCTTGTTCTTCCTTCACTATAATTGGAGTCCGCTTTACCTACTATGTGCTCGTCCTTTCCATCATCCACTCTCCAATCGTTAAAATCTACAACACATAGAAAAGTGATTGAACAACAAGAACTTCTCCGGTGGTTTAATAGGATTATTAATAGTTGATTTTTACTTAATTAGTTAGACGTCATGTAAGAAACATGGGTGCTATAGGGTGTGAAATGGTAAAGCTACTGGTCATATGTTTCTCACAAGTTGACTTATAGTATAATCGCGATCAGTATAAATCAAGCAAATTAGAATTGCAAGAAGTAAAATACACTCGTTACAAACCATGGCAATCAGACTATTATTATAACATGTCAATGACCACAATACCCTATGGAATATGACAAAAGAAAATATATTAGTATAAATTAGAAATATAGAAACACCCAACAACAAAATGAGAAGAGAGGGATTGCTGTGCAACTTGTTGTTAAACACTAAAATTAAGATAAATATTGATATATTTAATTTTCCAAAGTAAAAGCTTTTACCTTCTCCGTTGGAAATGTGAAATTATTGTTCTCGCACAACACCCTTGCATCATTCTTATGTTACTTCTTAATTGCAGGAAGTGGAACGATGGGTAAGACAAGATTACAAAGAAAGGACTAATAAAGGTGGAAAGACTCCTCAAATGATATTTACTGAAGAGCACAAAAACCTAGTAATTGATGGAGAAAAATGGATGAGAGATACCGCAAACTCATGTGCAATTGTTGCATCATTAATTGTGACAATAGTTTTTGCAGCAGCTATTACAGTGCCCGGAGGTAACAATCAGAACGATGGACAACCTGTTTTATTTAAAAGAAATGCATTCAAAATCTTTGCGATTTCAGATGCAATATCTCTTTTCTCATCTGCCACCTCCCTTTTAATGTTTCTTGCTATTCTCACCTCTCGTTATGCAGAAATGGATTTTCTTTACGCTCTTCCAAAAAAATTATTTATTGGTCTTGTTACTCTGTTCCTTTCCATAACATTCATGATTATTGCTTTTTGTTGCACTCTCTATATTGTGTTTGGACGCGGAGAGAATTGGTTCTAATTGGAGTGGCTATTTTAGCTTCTCTACCAATCACTTCATTTGTGTTCCAACAATTTCCCCTTCTCGTTGATCTTATATCTTCAACTTATGGCCCTGGCATCTTTGGGAAGAGAATGATCGTCCCTTCGGTTGAGGAACAGCATCATCTCTCTAATACAACAATTTGTCTTCAGTCTGGGTAATTTATCACTTTGCTTTCTACCAGAACTATGATTTTGTGGCACACCTTATGTGCTTGATTTTGGCTGCTGCAGGTGTGTTTCTTCTTTTTTGGATGTGGAGTTCTGGTGTGTCTTGCCGAAGTGGCTTAGTGGGTCTTTCCTGTGTGGTGCCTCAACCCTGTTCTCTTATGGAGAATAGGCCGTGTTTTTTAGGCTGCAGTAATTTTGGACGGTCCTTCGGGTTTTGGGTTTTTTTTTTTTTTTTTCCTGTTGGTTGGGTGACGAGTCTTTTGGTTGCTGATGTGGTTTTTGGTCTTTGGGGTGGACTCTTTTTTTTTTTTTTCTTTTCCATGTTTTTCTTCACCTTTTGACGATTTGCTGAATGAAATTTCTTTTCTATTCTATTCTTTAATAAAAAAAATAATAAAAAATGGAGATTATTTGAACAATATGATATGCAAAATCCTCTCAAAACAAGTTAAAGAGAGATACCATATCTAAGTTTACATTCGGATTTTTCGTATTTATATTAATTTTTTTCATTTCTTAAAATAAATTTTTTGCGGATTATTTACTGAAATATACTTATTTTGTAGTTAGAAAATTTCAATGTAAACCAACTTCTGTTGCAAATCTATTCATGAAATTTTGTTTGTTCTGGAATGAAATGTAGTGTTAAAAATGTTAATATTTAAATGTGTTAGAAATATATGACTAAATAATATAATTACAAGTAAAACCACAGCATGAACCTACAAAGATACCATATCAAAAGGGGAAAAAAAAAAAAAAACGAACTGCAAATGATGGTGATGATCCAAATTATTTTGAAAAAGTTTAATTTTAAAAATTTTGCTTTGATAATATAAAGAATTAAATTATTCATTTTAAAATAAATGATAAAAAATTAATTAAACAGAAATATTTACAAATGGTGGGCAGCTAATGCAATCCACCCTCGCCTTCCAAATCGTGTTCCGGATAAGAAAGGTAAATTGTCTTCCTTATCCGCAGTAGGCTTTCATTCTGGTAGCATTGTAGAATTAGTTTTTCCAATTAATTTGGAACATTAATTTTAAAGTAAATGAACTGAAATTTTATACCATTAAATTAAAAATTTTAAATTAATTTAAATCATATAAATATTTGATGTCATGTATATATTTTCTCTTTATTTTACATTTAAAATGAAAATCTAAAATGCTACAGAATTAGCCCTCCCAAAAATATAAAATGCACGTTCAGATTTTTCAGGCATGTGAGGATACAATCTACTTAGAGGGAAAGTTGCTCAACTTTAGAGCACCAATAAGACTGTCCCATGAGTAGAAATCCAATCCCGTTTTGTATTTTTTGCATAAAAAGTAGCCAGCTAGTAATATATATATATATATATATTATTTATTACCTTACCGGTGCATTTCTTCCGACCATTTTTGAAATCCAATCTCACTGTGATATATGCAATTACATGATCTCAGTGCACACCAAGGCCCTTTCCAATCTACTTACGAGGAGGCGGTGTTTTGAAGGGAGGTGGGGTCTCTTGCTCAACTAGCAGCTATTGCTGTGCTTTAGTGCATTAGTTCAGTGCCATCGATGACTGAATTGACTGCTTGACTTTAACTTTACTGCATCACCGGACCCGTCTTACCTTTCCTTTCCTGTCAATGCCCGGTACAATTGATGAGTACAGATAGAGTCGAAAACTTGGTCTCTGGAGGTGAACCTGTGACTTCGCCCAATTCTCTTGCTCTTTGATAGACATTTTTTGGTTGTCGGTCTATTTGACAAACAATCTTCAATGTGGATTCCCAGTTTCTGAAGGGGCTTGTGTCTCCGGCTCTGAGAGAAGTTTACCTATGTGAATCAGAGCTAGATCTCAAAGAGTTCTTAATGAGAAAGAAACTCCCCCCACCCCCACCCCCCACCCTCGGGGGTAAAGGACTCAAGTGGATTAAGTTTTTCAATCTCAACAAAACTAAGCTCAAACTAATCAAGATGAATAGGACGAGGAGTTAGCTAGGAATCTATTGACAAGGTCCATGCCGCTACGATCTATATGGAAGGGCAGTTTTCTTGATGCATTTCAACAAAACTAAGCTCAAACTAATCAAGATCAATAGGAAGAGTTAGCTAGGAATCTATTGACAAGGTCCATGCCGCTACGATCTATATGGAAGGGCAGTTTTCTTGATACATTTCTGTTGAGAAAGTTTTTTTTTTTTTCATTATATTCTCCAACTCTGGATGAGTTTGAGGCCTCCAACACCTTTTTTGGAGACTTTTTCCTTTCTTTTCTCTTTGGTTGCGCCCCTTTCTTTAAAGGGCTTAGGGGAACAGGTTTTTGTCTTATGAAGAAAATCGAATCTTTTTAAGACTGATCTCCTCGAAATACCACCCAACGAAACTATAGCTCCCCATGTCCTTTCTTCACAACAGGACAAGAGTATACAGGTCCATCAGGCCAAGGGCATTAAGGTGTAATGATAGTGCATATTGGATATTGAGCATGGAAATGAAGGCGCATGCTCACTACACCCCAAAAAGGAAAAAAACAATAAGCTTAGCCTTGCAGTCTAAAAGACTTCTATTCTTACTCACCACCTACTTCTTCTTTTTCTTTTTAAGTAATGTTTTAAGAGTGACAATGTCAAGTCCAGGCAATTGATATCAAAATTCTAGATTCAAAATTCCAGCTTCTTGCCAATCAAGCACGGGGACGTACTACTGATTGATTCCAGACCAATTTGACTGGGGAGTAACTCCTTATATAATAGAAGAGAAAGCAAGCAATAAAGAGTAGAATTGAAGGTCAAAATGAGGGTTGAGTGAAGGAATAGAAGGTAGCTTTTTGCCAAGGGGTGAAGAGACTAGCTCTTACACACTCTCTCTACTTGAAGAAAGTGAAGACTAGCTATCTATCCTTGCCTTAAGGCAACCAGTCCCTTGCTTCCTATGCGTCGGCTTAGTTTTACTACTTTATTTCACGTTCTTTCATGGGACCTTACTATAGCATAGGCCTTGGTTGGGCTTTTGTCCCTTCACCTATAAGTGAAGGCTTGGCTTCGCTATCGCTTATGGCTTGGTATAGAGCCATGTCTAAGTTGTAGGTAACTCGCAGCTGAGAATGAGTTCTTTTTCTTTGTTGCACCTCCTGCCCCAAAGCAAAAGGCTAAACTAGTAGCAAAACCAACAAAACTACATTTTCCTAAGACACAAAATGGAGGAACACATACATAGAGGTGGGAAAAGAAGTAGAGCATAGGCAATGGGAAAGAAAAGGAAGTTGAATACTTGGTCTTTCATCAGGTTAGATGACTAAGGAGCATCCACGTTGTTTTAAATCAGCTGCATGGTACTGGCATTTTGTAGATGTGGTTCGATTGTTCTATTTGTCTCTATTTATTAGTGGGGAGGTATATGAAGGAGTCTAGGGGGGATTCACAACATTTTTTCTTGCATTCCTTTCTATTGATAAAGTGGTGAACAGTCTTCGCTTTGAAAGCAAGGGAAAAGCCCAAAAGGTATACTCTTAGAAAGAAGATATGGCATCAAAGAAAGAGGAGTTAGTGAACTAGAATAAAACAACAACTCCAGGTTATTAGGAATCCTTCTTCCACTTATTGGATGGATGGATTGAATAGATATAATCTCTTCATCAGAAAGCAGCTTTGACGAGAAAGAGCCCTAAGTCCCACTCTCACTCAGTAGCAACACTAATACCTTAAAACTACCAAATACCATGCCTGAATCGGGGAGTCCTTTTGAACTTCAGTTATTCCATTTTGCACAAAAAGCAATCAAGGAACAAATGATTGATGCCTTCTTTTACATTCTTTCAAAAGCATAGCTGAAAGCCTTTTCTCCAGGAGAAAGGAAAGAGAAACCACTATCATTACAAAAAATAGTCTTTTAGTAAAGGAAAATTTTCGTCACTAACCAATAAAATTCGTCACTAAATACATTTGGCGACGGATTTAGCAACAAAAAAAAAATCCATCAGTAAAACGGCCACCGCTAATTTAGCAACGGAAAATTAGTGACGGAAAAATTAGCGACGGAAATTCTGTCACTAAAGTACCAACTGAAATTCCGTCACTAAATTACTGACAGAAATTCTGTTGCTAAATTCAGTCGCTAAATTATCAACAGAAATTCTGTCACTAAATTCTGTCACTAAATTACCAATTAAAATTCCGTCGCTAAATTCCATCACTAAATTATCGACAAAAATTCCGTTACTAAATTTCGTCACTAAATTACCAACAAAAATTTCCATCATCAAAATCCGTCACTAATTTATGGACAAATTTTCTGTCGCTAAATCTGTTACTAAATTATTGACAAAATATCTGTTACTAAATTCCGTTACTAAATTTTATTGCTAAATTACCAATATCTATTGTTATATTCTGTCAATAATTTTGTTCTTATTTTTTGTCAAAAATAACCCATTTCTAAAATAAAGAATTGCCTCCAACAACAATTAACTGACACAACTAATGCACCTTAAATTTGAAATGTTCAATTCATAGAAAATGTCAATACTTTGCATAATTTGAAAAAAAAAATAAAATAAAATAAAATAGATCACAAATATGAGTTTGATATGTATTACCTGTATGATATGTGCTTGTGAGTCTATGGATCCTTGTAATTCTTTGCCAAGCCAAAGTCAATGATATATACCTTTTATAAAAAAATTAGATTGTTATAAAAGAAAAACGTGAAACATTTTTCATTATTTAATCAAATTGTTCCCTGTCCCTCTTAAAATATCACATAATTCTTACACATGTATTAAATGAAATTTACGAGTAACCATTAAAAAAGAAATTACTTGTGAGAAAGGAGAAAATGCAATCATATATACAAAATTAAGAACACTCATGCTTTCTCTTTGTTTCCTCTCATATCCATTTCCCCTCCTTTATGCCTCGTGGTTTAACCAGAGATAGCATTATTTCATATCAGTCATGTGACTACAAACACATTTCAGGCACCTAGGGAATCAAACAATTGCATCTCCTTCACCAATTACACAAATATCTAGGAACAAATGGAAAGACTAATATAAGAAACCCCATACTGTCTTGGACTAATTGATTGATCCAAGTAAAATGGCAGCTATATTCCCATATTAATTATTTAACAGTCAATAGTATAACAGTTGGTTTTTAAGGGATTTAGCTT